CGAGAGTAAGTGCCACAGTTCATTGCTCTTCTACGTTCCTTTCTAGCGCGTCCTTACTTCTCAGTATTAGACCCATCCGTTAAGTCTCACGATTAATTCCTCACTTTCAGTAATCAGTCATATCCTAGCGTTACTTAAAGCATTTTCATCAAACTGTTCGTCCAAAACCTGATCAGGCAATCATTCCATTTGAGGTTGATGTCTCTTGTCTACCCTGGACTGCATTTTATCATGAAGTCGCACATCAGTGATGCCTTTATCTGGTACATCAATATTTCGATTTCCTTCGTTACCTAGGCAGATAATCCCGCGAAATGATAACCCTGATCGCCTTTCAATTGCTCGCCTGATTAAACCAGTAATTCAAGCACTGTTTTCACTTTCCGAATGGTCTGTGCACGTTGTAATTCGATCAGTGGGTTAAAACCTCATCTTAGATCAAATAGTACTCTTTTGTTAAGGAGTCTCAAATTGGTCTTCAACTTTGGCATTGAAAAATGTCACTCAATAGGGAACATTTCTATTGATCTTAAGTTCTCATTGTCTACGGATCGAACAGTGAAAGTGCTGATTTAGAGGTTGAACAAGGAATTTAATTAAGAAGTCGGAAATGTCGCAACATGCAGCTATCAAGCCCAGGCCTCCAAGCATTGGCTGAAGGCAGGAAATCAAGGCAAAGCCGAATCTCGTGGTCTATATCATTCCAGAAGATATCGATAAAACTGACCATCCTGGTCTGTCGGGCTTCGATCATGATTCGCTCGGCCATTCCTAGTGGTATTGGTCTTCCATCGCATCAATTACTTGGTCGCCTTAGCATCAATCGTGTAGGGGCGGACCTATTTTTCGGTCACATGTTATGTTCAAGCCTTTCTACTACTCTTGTTGCATGGATGCGATCGCTCTAAGGACAAGGTGAAATATCTAATGGTCCATTTAATGTTCAGGATAGAGTTCTACCCTCTTTAAATATACTATTTCACGGCCTTTCATATGGTCGGCTAGGTTATATCTTATACTTGTGATTTTGGTCATTTCATATTCGTCTTTTACTCTGAGTGAAAGTTTAGAGAACAAAGGAAACTTCATATGAAATCGCCTTCATGGAAAGGTAGTAGCACTTGTGGTTTTGTGTGCTTGTGTGCAATGTGGCAGATGAGATTTTCCTCTTTTGTTCACTCATTTATTTCTGAAAAGTAAGTGTCTACAGTCCTGTGTGTGCTTATCGAGCGGTCGAGCCCTACTGCCACTCTCCCTCACCCAGCCTAAGCGCCACCACCAGCAGCATTATCACCACCATCGCCATCCACCGATGGAACGACCGACCGACGCGCGCAATGGAAGGCACGAGAGTGGAAGCGCGTAGAACACGCGTCGTGGTGGTGAGCAAGCAAACAAGCGCAAGTGGTGAGAATGCGTGAGCGCACGCGTGCGTCTCCCGTTAGCTCATTCACAGCTCTCGTCTACTCTCGTTCGCGTCTGTGCGCGCGCGTTATCGATTTTTCGTTCATATATGCGTTCACGCGCACGTGCTAGAGACGGCTCAACGATGATGGTGATGGCACGAGTCTGCGCACACTCCGCAGACACGCATTCGCGTGTCAGTGCGTGTGTGAGTGTGAGGAAATTTGCACGTGCGTACGCACTCTTCTGCGCTCATCGTCAATTGCCGGGGGGATAAGTCCCCGCTCGGCTTATGCGTGTTCATGCTGCGTGGCGTACACGTGTGCACGCGCTCGTGTGTGGGTGGGTGTGCGTATGGCACTTGCATGATTTTATTGTTCCACGTGATCGATTGGTATAATACGAATGCACAACTCCCAGCCCGTTGAAAATGCTCCACACCGATATCACTTGCTCGGTATCCCTTACATACTATTGACCTGGGAGGTTCTCCGCTTCCTCTTTTCTTACACCAGCACATTTGCTTTAGCCAATCAACCACTTGAGGAAGCCGTGGTATAGCCGTACTGCTTTCGTTGCCTTAGTAAAGTCTCCTCTGTAGAAATCTTAAATTAAAGTGTTCCTGTAGCTCTTGATCACTTTGGCATAAGTAACTTTCTCCATCGAATAAGGCTTGTGCTGCTCCGTAATTTATAATACAAGCTAAAATGGGTTTTCAAGCAAGTTCAGCTAGTTTGGTGTCGACTCAGTTGATCCGCTTCAGCATTTCATTCTGTTACTTTTGCCTTCTTTTATAAGTGTTGTTCAACTCGTTCCCCTTTATCCTCATTTACTTTTTTTGCAGTCTGTGAATACTACACCCATTACGAGTGCTTGGAATTCGTCTCAGCAGATTGCAAAGTTTGCTCTATCTCCACTCCCTCCAAGGATCGGGAAGTGCGTTCGTGGTCTTGTTTTTACCCTTTATAATGTCAACCCTCTTGATATCTTATCATTAAGTTTTTAGGCGAATTACACGAAAATCGTCCTTGCTGTAGCGTTTATGAGTACAGGAACTAAGGCGTCGGTGGTAAATCGAAAATGAATTCATGTCTTTTGTGGGTGTAGGCATGCCATGAACCTGAGTTGTTCTGATCTTCCCCATTCATGAATAGCCTTATTGATGTAGTCTTCCGGCTCTATGATCCGTCAACCATACGATGGGAGCAAACCGCTGCTCGCTAACCTAGTCCAAGTCATACATATGTCTGACTGTATCAGGTGATGACAGACCTTGACTCACTACTTGGCCAAGAGAAATTTCTTGGCATTTAAGATCGAAGGTCTTAATGGTTGTTCAGTTCCTTGTACTTCAAGAACATCCAGTATCGATGCTACCCATGAGCAGTTAAGCCGATCGTTGGGATTCTTTACAAAAAAGAGAATTTTGGGTAAAAGAGAAGTTAATTTCTACGGTATTTGAGTTTCTTTGGAAAAAAAAAACTTGTATTATTTGACACCTCTGAACATACCAAAAGTTGTTTAGTTAGAAGCTAGCATCATAGGAATTCATCACTCCTCCGTTTGTTGAACCGACCGGTTCCTACGAATCCATGATAAATCTTTATGCTTATCTGCACCAAAGTTGGCATGCTGAACTGTTGGTGGTGGAATATTCTTTTTCCAAAGTGGCTTTGGTCATTTTCTGGACAGCGCTAATTGTCAAAATCAGAGCTTAAACTAGCAAATGTCTCAGAACGTCCTACCATTAAGTTGATTGTAGTGTATGATGAAATTCTCGCTTTTGAGTGCTAGCGACTTCTAGCTTGGCATGCATTTCGCTTCGTTTTGCGCAAGTTTTATCCACATTTCTATGTTATTAATAACTATATCGCCTCATTTTGGGGCTTTTGAAAGTATCTCAAGGGATATCATCATTTTTTTGCTGCGAAGAAACACCTTATTTGTAAATTTAAATAATCCCGACCCCAAGGCCATCAATTTGGGTTTGGAAATGATAATTAAATAAAGCTAACCTCGTTTCTCATCAAAAGTACTTTTTATTGTTCCAGTTACCCCACGCAGTAAGCATTTCTTGATTTAGGGCGTATTGCGTTACTACTATATTATCTTGTAAGATTCGACTACCTGTCACTGTCCAAAGGTATCCTTTTTTCCACTTAACAAGCGAGTAATCCATTCTCTCACTCATCAAGCACACTTACCATAGCCATGTTTTGTTTTGGCTCAAACGAGGATTTTTTGTGTATCTTTCATGCCATTTTTAAGAAATCCGTTATTCATCCTTCCACTGGGAATTTCGGTGAAGCAAATGATGCATTTGTGCGCACAATATTGTACTTTCTACCCACGTGTTTAGTGTTAGTCTATTGAGATCACGAAACATTCTGGGTACCCTGTTTCTCATTTCTGATCTGCATTGTTGGGAAGACTGGCGTAGAATAAAGTCGTGTAGGCTCTCTTTCCTCAGTAGTAATGAGTCCATCCTATAAGTGCTTTATCACCCTAGGAGACCAAAATCTTTATGCTTTGAGTTCAATATTATAAATCCAATCTAAATTGTCCTTTTAGCTAATCTGCTTTCACGTAATGATATGTGATATTAAACGTTTACAGAAATCGCCAACCCTTCTACGCAAGCCGAGTGCTCCAGCGCCGCTTAGCTTACCGTTCTCCAACGTTGCGGACATCCCCGAGTTACATTCGGCTCTTGGTATGACCATTACGTCTGGAAGCAGCAGTAGTTTTGGTGGTGGGGCAACCAGCGTCAATGATACCGAATCTGTTCCTTCACGTCCCTGGACTGGAGGAATGGCCGCGTTCGCCGCCTATGCAATGCGCTCTGCAGCAATTCAAGCGGCCACTGTTGTCACCACCACTGCAACTACTTCGGGCTCAGTGAATTCGGGGGTAGTACCCTCCTCCCTTTCCGCTGCTACTGTAAGCACCACGTCCACCTCCGCCTCGTCCTTTCCTTCACCTGGCGTAGGCGGAGCGGGCGGTCCAACTAATCCACCTCCAAGCCCCGTCTCTCCTTTGACACCTCCGCCTCTTCCATTTACGATTACACCCCAAACTGACAGACCGGTGCATCATTGGCGTGAGGGGAACTTGCCTGCCAACTCGAAGTGCAGCAGCTGCAAGAAAACCTGCTGGTCTGCTGAGTGCCTGACTGGCATGCGCTGCGAATGGTGCGGCGTAACAGTAAGTGCAAGCATTCTCCACTTTTTGAAAAATTTTCTTTTGGTTTGTAACATAAATAAATGTAATGTATTCAAATCGCAAAACTTGGTATTTTATGCAGAGATGTGGTAATGCAAAAAATTAGCATTTGTTCATATTTTTGGTTTGAGTGTATCACAGCCCCACCTGACGTGGTGTATCTAAAAATACATTTTTAACCTTAAATTCAGTGGAGGATTCCCTGTTGCAGTTGCTACACCGGCTCTTTGTTTTCCTAGATAGAAGTGTGGCATGAGTTTGTGCAATGCAAACATTCAATTGGTCTTTTTGTATTGGATAGGTGCATTACACGTGCTTTCGAAATCTCCCCATTGAATGTGACTATGGTTCTCTGAGGGACATCATGTTGCCTCCACAGGCTGTTTCCATTCCCAGAACCAGTCTCCTCATGGAACACATAATTGGTTTACCTAAACCACAACCGGACTTCTTTCCTGGACGTATGTCATAAATGAACGCCCACATAATTTTATTTTGTCACCATTTATATTTGTTAGTGCATACCTCGTTTTACTCAGATAATAAAAACGCGAGGTTCTGTGGCGACCTGATACTTTCGATTTATGGTATTAGTCTGAGTGTAATACCTCATATTAAGTTCTTTAGGTCGAATACTTGATTGCGTTACCTTTTTGTGTGCTTTCTGTGCTAACATTATTTCCTCTTTCATGTTAACTAACTTCGACCAAGATGAATAACAATTATGGCAAGTAGCTAGCCTAAACTACACACCAAAGAAACTATAAAACTCGGCCTAAGGTGTATTTCCTTTAGTCCCAGCCCTAATGGATGAGTTTACTAGCAGCGGAGAGAGTTTGGAGGAGTCCGGCTTCGAGCGGCGAACGAACCGTGACAAATCCGATCGCGACTTCGACGGTAGGCATGATTTAGTTCTGATACTCCTTCTACTGAATAATATTTAGTAAGTAAATTAACGCGGGCTCTTATATTGTGCAGATTATGTTCGTGTATACGATGGTATGGACCGCTACAGGCGGCATCAGTGTCGATATCTCTCTTTGGGAAAAAACGTTTCTGTTCGAAAAGTGATCGAACTTTCTCTCAAGGCATTCCAACTCCCTCCTGATGAGGAAAAGGATTTCTATTTAGTTGAAATTAATGAACGAGGTAATCACTAAAATCAACCATACAAATAATGTCTAGGTTAATAAATAAGCTTCCAAAAGTTTATTGTAAATGATTGTGCTACCTTAAAAATGCTTATGTTTATTGCTATTCGACTAAAGATGGCAGCGAGCATCCATTAGACTCAAACACCCTCTTCAAGCGACAGCTCCAATTTGAGACCCGGCGGCCTCAGATTATTCTTCGATATATCGAACGAGAGGAGAATCGCGACTATATCAGTGTTTATCCTGGTTCACTCGTGTAAGGTCTCTTTACTACGGTTCTACAGATCATTTCCGGTGTATAGCTACTTATTAAAATACTTTCTCTGCTTTGTAGTGACTATGCTGACATAAGCGTACCCTCAATCCAAGTCTCCATAACACCGGCAACTTCAGCCCATGATGTGCTTGTCCTTTCGCTCCATCGGTTAGGAGTTGGTGTGCGTCGACTCCCATTGTTTTAAAGAGCACAGCAAACACTTCAGCTTAGTTCAATCCTTACATGCATGATGCAGTATTAGCAATTTTCTACCATAGTTCTTTCTTTTTAGTTGCCTTTTCTCCATTCCGTCACATCGCTCAAATTTTCTTATTCCGAATGACGAAGTTGTTTGGCTTCGAGTCAAATTCCTTAATAAACCATATATTCCAGTATCTAGATGCCAATAAATTCAACCTGGTGGAGACAGTGGTGGATCGAGGACTGGTTGAGAGAGTGCTTCATCCAAATGACCGTCCCTGGGAGATAATCGATAACGTTCGACTGGAGTCCGTCCGAGCTTTGCGGCTGACGCGCTTTTACATTCGATCAGTGAAGGATCCTTATGGCCAAGGTGTCTCCTTGTTCGTGGGGAATCTCAAGAGGGGCCTCAGTCAACGTCTCTATGAAATAATTCTTCTTGAGCGCCTGGGCTATCAGAACAAATGGGACGCCATAGGTAATTATAATTACTCTTCTCGTCACTGTTACTAGCTGTTCAGCTGGATGATTTGACTGAATTTTACTACATTTATAATACTGTACTTTTTATCGGTTGGAGCTGATTCATATTTATTTTAACAAGATGATAATTTGAAAACAAAATTTCTGCTTTTCTAACGTGACTGGAAATCACTTAAAAAGCCTTGGACTGATAGTGGCCAGTAAATTTTTGAAATCATGAAAAACAATTTTTTTCAATTAGTAACGCATGATAGCATTAAAGTTGAGGCATTAACCTCAAATTTGATGATTCTTTGAGTTACACTTGAGGATATTGAGCTCTCAATCGTCGGCATCCTTCTTTTTTTGTAGTTTTTCATCAGGATTCACAAGCACTCCTCTCTCCCTTGTAAAGCTGTTGAAAAAGCTATCATTACAGCAATGTTGTGACTTTTTAAAATGTCACAAAAACCAGAATAATGCTTTGTCCGTAATCTCACACGTCAATGCAAGACATGCTGGGAGAAAGTATGGGAAGCTGTGAAGTAAAAAGGCAAGGGTAGGAATGTAAGGCTTGTTGAGCGTTGGATAGGTTTCATGTTTAACACTTGTTTTAAGTGATTGCTAAGCTTTATGATTTTGGCAATGAAAAGTGCTTAAATTAGGTCGGAGACTGTCATTACCAGCGTCATTATTTGCACTTAAGAACGCTCCTCAGAATTCGTTGAATTAGCTGGTCGAGAGGCATTTTCAAGTGCCTCGAAATCAACGCTTGATAATTATAATGGATGTAGTTTAGGCCTTTCTCACGACTCCTACGTGTTGTTAGCTTTATCCTAAAGTTCTGAGCAAATCCATAGCGGCCTTGAACCTGGCTAAACGGTTAAATCGAAGGGTGTAGTGACAGCAAGCTTGCAAACTACAAATGTAGTTTGAATGGGGCCAAGAGTTCAACTTTTTGTTTGATTGGAGTAAGGATTACTTAATAACAGGCCCTTTTCTGATCAGCACATTTTACCTAAGGTGAGATTGTCGTTTTGTGTATTGAGTATGACCTAATGCCCTTCATTTGAGCGATGTTGGGTCATTGTAAGTATTGTTCGCTTTTAGACTTGATTTCCCTCTTACGGCCATGAGAAAAGATTCTTTCTGGCTAATCCTCCTACAAGAGGCAAGCCCTGTTTGAATTCGAATTACGTACCGTCCAAAGCTTAAAAATCTTTAAGCGTCACTGGATTGTTAGAGCATTCACTTAACTTATCTTAGCTTTTGTAAACAATAAGTGTGATCCCTCCCTATTGCTTTCTTCCTCATTTCATCATTCTGTCATTAATTTAAATGCTGCAAAGGCTGCACTCTTCCTGCTTGTCCCATTTGTGGATCTTGACAGGATTTTAACAAAGTCTGCGATTCTGCTTTGTAAATCGAAGTGGTAAAGTAATTGTGATCCCAATGAAATGGTTGTTTTAGTCTATTCTTTACTCATTAGCATCATTTTTAAGCAGCTAAATATATGCAAGTACTTAGTCTACTTTTATTCATCTCAACCTCTCACCTACCAATCGTTTTTTGTTTAATGGGTGCTCCATGGAACATTGATACAAAGGATGTCAAATAAAAAGCCAAATACATCTACTATTTCCGATTATTCATCTCCTGCCGTTAAACCGAAACACGCTTTTCCTTGCGGTTGGCTGTTTCTGTTGGCGCGTTTACTTACCAAAATGTTACATTTGCGCGTCTATATCCACGCCTTTGCATCGGGCCATGCATGTGGTTAACCGCGATTTTTTATTCAACTCTCTGAACGCTGCTTTTTCGAAACACATCGATCCTTTGTATTTTCACCACTATTGTCCGCCTAGCTACCAATAAGAAATAATAATTGGTGAATTGCTGTGACTTTGTGAATTCGTACTTTGCTTGACATCGTAAAATGAACAAATGTGATACATTTGGGACGGAGTTAGGTGTGAGCGCTGTCCTGAAGCTAAGATGGCTTCGAGGGTACTTCTAATGGAACCGCTACATTTACGCTTGAATATTGACAAATTTGAGCAAACTATTAGGGGCAAATCCTTTACACAGTTCACCTTCGCACATCTTCATGAACCTTGGTTTCGTTCTTGTTGCGAGCTGAAATAAGGTCATTTCACATTAATGAGTTTTCTTGCCCATGTGTGCTCAATAGACTCCAGAATGTTCCACTGCTAGTGACGCAAACTTGGTCACGGAGTCAATAAGACGGAATTCGAAGATGGCTTTAAGGAAAACAATCATTTCAAAGGCACGATTCTATGCTTTTTGAACGATTCAAAAACTACTTTTAGCTGATAATGGTGAATTCACCAATTCTCAAATGGCGCTGCTTTGTTCGATATCTTGGAAACTTCTCTCGAGAGTTGTGGATGTAGGGGATGCTTCCCTGACATTTAACTTTCCCGTGGCTCACACTTTGTTACTCTTTTGAAGTAGATTGATGAACTTCTACATTTTAAATTAAAATACTAACTAGACACTGCGATTAACTTTCCGTAAAAGACAGGAAATATCGTAGCTAGAGACGGCATGGTGGAAGACTCTCACAAATTTCACTACATTATTTGGTTACTTTAACGGTGGTGCTGAAGCGCAACGCTAGGGCAGGACATATAGACGCATAGCAAAATAACTTAACAAGAAGTCGCTTTTGTTCTGCGTATTGGAAGGCAGTGGTCGTGATGTGTGCTTTGCTTAATACTGGAGACGTGGGGACAGAGTCGCTCAAAAAGTGCGCAAATCACACACTATAATTTACAGCCTTGTTGATATAAAGGAAATGCAAGGGAGTTTCGGAACAATATGAAGTTAGTCACTATCAGCGGGCCGTTGGATTAATGTACAGTGGTCATAACTGCAGTAAAAGGCACATTCAGTCACTTTAACTGTTAACGTTCCATTTTTTGGTTCAAGATTTGGATACAGCAATTGGATTCATCTGTTTGGTGCTCTTTTTTATAGAGGTGATCTACTATGACTTTGGAAGTTTAGTGGTGATATATTCGAATGCAGAAAAGGCAGATGAGGCCTACCGGCTTTTGAAGAACAGTACATTCGAGGATCGTCCAATTCTTGCAATGATTTTGCCCCGAATAAAACCCGAACACATCCTTGATGGAACGCAACCACTCTTGGTTTTCGTGAACGTCAAGTCTGGTGGATGTCAGGGCCTAGACCTCATTACGTCTTTCCGAAAGCTTCTCAACCCTCATCAGGTGTGCCCTTCATACACTTCTGCATGAATGTCTTGTTTTCTTCTACAACTTATGGATTTCATAGGTGTTTATTTTTTCCTTTTTATGCACTTCCTCAAAGTTGAAAGCATATCTTAACAATTGAGATTGAACTCAAACTCATTGAGAATGATCGTTGATGTTTATCCTGCTCTTGCCACTCATTCTTTTTATGAGCGATAGTAAGCCGGCTATGCGAACCTTTACATCATTTATACCTCTGCCAATAAAAGCTCAGCCTTCATGTGATGACTCGTTGATGCATTCCTAAACCATTGCCTGATTATCAATAGCGTAAATGTCCCGTTCCTTTGTGAATATCCTCCAGATGTTTTTTTTGTTTTCTCTCTTTTTCACCCAAAGCTCGGGATTTGCTTATTTTGTTAAGTAGTTCAGGACGGATGGGACGTTGGATGAGTGATCTCAACGATGATCACTTGGTCTGTTGCTAAGTTGTTAAATCATATTTAATATTGCTCGAACAAAGACTTCGTCATAATAAGAATTTTCTACTGAAGCGTTTAGGGTTCCTCTAGTGGCAAACCTTGTAGTTAGTACAGATCAATTCGATGACATAGTTTCCTGTTTTAAAGTCATTTTCCTTTGTGAGGTATTTAATCTGGATAATGGTGGTCCGCTGCCCGGGCTCCACTGTTTTCGGCATCTATCGCGGTTCAAGATCCTCGTGTGTGGTGGTGACGGGACGGTAGGTTGGGCGCTTTCCTGTTTGGATAACGTAGGCCAGGATGCTGCCTGTCCCACTCCTCCTATGGCCATCTTGCCAATTGGGACAGGCAACGATCTCGCACGCGTTTTGCATTGGGGTCCGGGGTATACGGGCACCGAAGATCCTCTGCAGATCCTCCGGTTAGTCCTTTTTTGAAGGATGATTTGTCCATGAATTACTCAAACCACTAATTCATTGCTAGGGGAATATCACTCTTGCCAGGTTTTTGGGCCT